ACTGGCTGGTCTCTTCCCTCTCTGGGCCTCGCTTTCCCCATCATGCCATTGCCCAACTCCCAGGTTGTAAAAACAAAAATTAAATGACTCCCTGGAGGAGGAGTGTCAGCTCTGAATGATCCCCCCCTCCTCTCTTAGGGAGATCCAAATTCCCAGAGGCAGGACCCCTGCCCTCAGAGCTGGGGGGCCAGGGCTGAGCTCGCCGCAGAGCTGTCACCCAGCCGACCCGGCCACTGGTGGAGGGGCAGAGACAGTGCTGCTGGTGAAACCAGTGGGGTTGGGAGAAAGGCCATAGCAAGGGGCCTGTCGGGACCTGAGACCAAGGAGACTTGGGGAACATGCTTAAGGGCATGTAGAGAGCACCCCCAGGGCCCGGATGTGGAGTGAGACTCTATTTGTCCAGCAATGGGGAGCCATGGCTAGTTCTTGAGTGGGGGAAGGGAAGGCTAGGATGCGCTTCTCTGACTTTGGGAAGCCTGGGAAGTGGGAAAACCACGGAGGAAGGCGTCATGTTTACACCTCTTTAGGCTACCTCCTGCGGAAGGGCAGGGGGCGGAGGGGGAGTCTGAGCACTATGGAGACAACCCTCAATGCAGCTGGGTCTGTGGAATTGGAGGAGAGCTGGGAGCCTTTCCAGGGAGCCCCGCTCCATGGGGAGGAGTCCACCTGGGGCCCGGGAGGAAGCTGGCATCTTGCAACCCTGCAATTAGTAGGCAGAGGAGCTGGGTGGTGGTTGGGTGGGGGGCTGAGAGCTGCAGCTGGTTCATGGGTGCCGCCTCTGCCTCCAATATCCCCCTCACTGCCCCAGAAGGGTGCCGGGGTGGCTGGCAGGCCCCAGGCAGACAGGGCACTGGGTTCTTGGGAGGGAATGCAGAGCAGAGGAAAAGCCAAAAAAATAACACTAACAGTAAAGTCATATTATTGGGTGTGGGTTTGGACAACCCAGTTGCTATTGTGCTCATTTTACAGATTGGGGAATGAAAGCCCAGAGAGGGACAGGGGCTTGCCAAGAGACACAGCCGCACCGCCCCCCCACCCCCGTCTGAAAGAGCTGGGGCTAGATGCCACGTTGATCTGGAGGGCTGGGGTGCAGGGTCACTCCTGGGCCCAAACTTCCATGCAGGTAACCCTAGAGACTGCCCCCCACCCCCCTAGAGTCAGGTTGGCAACATGACCTCTGCCGGAGAGCAAGGGGAAGCCAACCCCAGGGCCCCCAGCCCATCCCTGCAGGGGGAGGAGGGGCCGGGTGGGGCAGTCTGGCCCAGCCAGTTCTCTAGCCTGCCCGGGCACTCCAGGCCCTGCCCATGCGCTGCTGGGGCTTTTGATACTGGACCATCTGCCCTGGGAGACTCCTTATCTGAGCAGCACACAGACCCATCCAGGACCGGTCCTGCAGGCACTGCGGTGGGGCTGGAGTTGGGGGGGGGGACCGCGTGGTTCTCGCTTCAGCCTTCTAGCGTACCATCCATCTTCCTTCCCTTCCTCCCCTCTCCTCTTTCAAAGATGCCCACTAAGCCCAGGCTACCTTGCCGGCTGCTGGCAGGATTCTCTGGCCTCCAGGAGCATCTGGTGGGACGGGAGAAGCAGACAAGTACACAGCCCGCTACCACTCTTAGAATGAACCAAGTAGGCTCAGCTTGGAAGGGCTGGTGGGACTTTGATGGGGCAGGGGCGATTCTGGTGGCCGCGCGGGGAGCTCAACAGGACTGGAGCTGCAGGGTCTGGGGCCAAGTGGAGGGTGGGGGGGCTGCAGCTGAGGGCAGGGGCTGTACCATGTGGGGCCTTGCCTTGGAGGGGTGGGGTGTGGGAGCCATGATCAGGAGCTCGGGCTCTGGCCTCCGATCCATCTGACCTGGAACGCCAGCATCCTCACCGATGAGCTGTGTGGCCTTGGGCTAGTTACTTGCTCCCTCTGAGGCTCTGCATCCTTGATCAAAAGAGGGAAGACGGGGGTAGTGCCCGCCTCAAAGGGTGTGAGGCACGTGGCGTGGCTCCATAGGTGTTAACTGTTCTTGGCAGTCACCCCTGCATGCGCGAGCTCTGAGCCCACGGCTGACCCGCGGGCCCGGCCCCCTAGAGCTCACACTGACTTCCGGCCAGTGGAAGAAGGCTCACATGGCCTCCGGGGGGCCATATAAAATGAGGCACATGCAGAGTAAGGCTGCACGGAGTGGTGGGGACTGTGGCCCCCCAAGGTGCCTGTGCCCCATTCCGGGCAGCACCCGCCTCCCTGCCCGGGGGCCACGACCCCATGGGAGTGTGAACCCAGCGTGGGCCGACGTGCTGATTCCTCACGAGAAGGAAACCTACATTTTTCTGAGAAACTCCCCATTACTAAACTAGCATGCATATGATATCGTTTTTAAAGCATCTCGGGAGCCAAAGCTGATGCTTCTGTTGGCAGAGGCTGCCCCCGTGAACAAAGGATGCAAGAGAGGCAGCACATTCCAGGCCTGGAGAATCTTCCAGCCCTGTGGTCTGTGGCTGTGTCTCCCCTCCTGAAACTTTGGTTCTCCTCTGGACGGTGAAGTGGGAGTCCAGACCCTCTCCTTGCTGACATTCTCCGGAGCGGCCCCGCCCGCACACAGGGGCGGGAACGGGGCTCCTGCTCAACACTCTGGCCGGAGGTGCCAGGCAGTCTGCGGGGGGAGCCTGCTGCGCCGGCGGATCTGCTCTGTGTCTGGGAATGGCAGGCCCGCCTGGGGCCTGGGGAGGCGGCCCTCAGGGCTATCGTCAGTGAGGGCCTGGCTCCTGGGGGGGTCAAAGGGCAGCATTTCAGCCTCTTCTGGGGCCAGCTTCCTGTTTGGGAGAGAAAACAGAAAGACCCCCCCGGCAGGAAATGGCCCTCTTCCCCCAGCTTTTTTTTTTTCCGCGGGCCCTGGCTTGTGGGGAAAGACCCATGGCGGATGGCTCCCCATGGCTGGGGGTGGCCCACTCCTTCCTTTCCCCTCAGAGCCCAGGAGGGAACCTGGGGCCTCTCTGCCATGAGAGCAAACCCCACCTCACCAGTTTCATCCCTAGTTTAGCCGTGGCAACAGCTGAACCGTTCTGTGCCCGGATGTACCACCCGCTGGGCTCTGGCACCCTCTGCATCCCAGCACTGTGTCCTTAGGGGCCCCTCAGACAGCCACAAGAGAGAAAGCCATGGAGTGAGCTCCCCTCCACAGGCACAGAGCCTCAGCGGCTCCTTGCACACCTCTTGAGCACAGGGAGCTCACCTCTTCTGCCGGCTAAAACCATGCTGACAGAGCCTCTTTCTGCAGAAAGCAGGCCTGCTGCCAAGAATTCATCTAGAGCATCTCATTAAGGGCAGATGTCTCAATGCCACCTCGACCTGCAGATGCGAAAATGTATGCTATTGTGTTCTGAGTAACAGTTTCCACCGGATTTAATATAAATCTGCTGGTTATAGAGGGTTTAGAAATTAAGTATCAAAAATAAAATTAAAATTACCTGCAATTTCATTACCTAGAGCAGAGCTGAGGGAAAGATAAAAGGATTTATTATTTATTGTGTTTATGCCTACCTCTGGTCGCCTGAACTTCATCCCTTGTGACACAGCCCATCTGGCAAATACCTCCTCTCCAAGGCATACCTTCGAGCATTTCAATAATAACTAACCTTTACTGAGTTCCAGACGAACTCAGCTTATTCTCATGATAGCTGTAGGAGACGCCTCAATTTATAGATGGAGAAACTGAGGCTCAGAGAGGTCAAGTCACTTCCTCATGGTTGCACAGCCAGTAAGGGGCAGCGGCAGAGATTTGAATTCAGCCGGTGCAGAACTGCAGCCTCCTCTCCTCCAGATTAGACACACACCATACCTTTCCCTTCCCCTCACAGGAGCCGGGTTCCAGACCACTGAGCAGCTCAGGTGTTCATCCATTCGTTCTTTCTCACATTCGTTCATTTAGCAAGTCACTTGACATTCCGGAGCTCAGGTTGGGTGCCAGACGCAGGCTGATGCTGTCCCCTACACCACCGGCCCATATCTGCCACACTCTCAAGGACTCTGCCCTGAGAACCCAAACTCCATTTATTACAAAAGACTGGGTTTATCACATTGTACTGTAAACAGCTCCACCTGACCCCCAAGGTTCAGAGAGGCAGCCTGGGTCGAGGCCCCCACAGCCCCCTTTGACATCCCCCTCGCCCCTGCACGAAGGTCCTGGGTGGATGGGGGTGCTGAGACCGGGCCTTGGAGTGGTCCCATGTTTATAAGACCAAATGGGTCCAAGGATCCCGCGCACATATATAAAATATACACGTATAATGTATACATAGGCCATGGCTTCCCCTCCGCAGGGTGTTGCTGGGGTGGGGCCACCGGCGCCCACCCTGGGAGAGGCAGGGAGCATGGGCAGCTTCATCGGTCTGAGCGGCCGGTCAGCCCGGGCACCCAGAGGCCTGCGGCCACAGGCCAGTCCTGTCCGGCCCTGGGAGCTCTAGGCCACCTGGATCTGCAGGTCCTCGTCTTCATCCAGGTCGCTGGCTCCGTCCCCGGCCTCCTCGGCGCCAAAGCGAGCGCTTCGGATCTTCCCAAAGAGGGGGGCGTTCTGCTGCTGCCTGCGGAGCCTGTGGGGCCGGGTGACAGGAGGGTCAGGGGCAGTCAGTCGATCACCGGTGCTGCAAGCAGCTCAGCCATTCCCTAGCACGTCTCTGCTGCCAGGCACCAGCTGGGGCCTTTCCCCTCTAGTACCTCATGTCACAGCATCCTCCCAGAGGCTGCTGAGATGTAGGAGGTGTTACTGTCACCCTCGTTTGACAGAGAAGGAAACTGAGGCACAGAGCAGTCAAGTAATTTGTCCATCCCCCCAGACAGCAGAGAGTGAGGCTGGGCTCTGCTGTGGGCTGGGGCCGGAGAGGTGAAGCAGCCACTTAAGGTCACCCTGCTAGGATTCGAACCCACGCCAAGCTCCAAAGACCACAGAGAGAGAGTTTGGGGCTGGGGGGCCTGAGGTGCCCTATCCCCCCCCATGGAAGTGAGTTCTTTCCCACACTGAAATTCCTAAAGCCCAAATTTACGAGGGCTGCTGGAGGAAATGCCCATCCCCCAGCAGAGTGGCCGCCTTGGCTCCATCTTACTGGAAGGCATGAATTATTTACACAGCAGGGAGGGGGCCAGGCGGGGGCCTCCATTACTGGGCCATGATTTAGTGAGCTGTCCCCGGAACATTAAAGCAGAAAAAGTTGGAAAATAAAACGAGGCGGCGGTCCTGGGCAGCCCTGGCCTCCCCGCTGTTGGAAGGACTCGGGAGGTACAGCCTGACTGCCCACTTTGGAATGAATGTGGCTGAAGGACGTGGCCAACTCTGCGGTAAAGCCCGGGGCTCGGCGGCCTCTGAGGGCTGTCCCCTTGGGGTGTGTGTGTATGTGTGTGTGTAGAGTGGGCAGCGCTGGTCAGACACGGAGTGTGACCTGGACTCACACCCGGGCCCCCGTGCATTTTATGGGCATCATCCCAGGCAGATGGGGAAACTGAGGCCAGGTTGGCCATGTCACACAGCTGTTAGGCCTGGCTCCCCGGCCCGTATTCCCAGCACAGAAACTCAGCACACGGCAGCGCACAGTATATGCTCCGGAAATCGGGGCGCTGGTGGCCAGGGGGGCGATCCAGCCGGACCACCCGCCAGATGTGTGGCTGTGGAGACCCTTACTCTCTTAGGCCTTACTTTCCTTGTCTGCCAGCTTCCTAGAGAAAAACAGCTTCCACTTCCCTTCTCTCATGGGAGAGGGATTCTTGGTGGGACCCAAATGTAAGTCCCCCCGCCCCCCGCCCCACAGCCCCCAGCTGCTCCCCAGGGGGAAAGTAGCAACAGCACTTACGACGTGCCCTGGTGCTTTTACAAACTCACTGAATTCCTACAATAAGCAAGAGGCAAGACCTGTAACATCTCCATTTTACAGATGAGGAAATGGACACAGAGAGGTCAAGCGAGTGGCCCCAGACCACATGGACCACTTCCACAGCTCGTCAGCACAGCCTCCCACCCACCGGGGGAGTCCGGCTGCAGAGCCTGCATCGCTCTGTTCTCTGACATCAGACGACGCGAGTGAGGGCCTGGCACGGGCCTGACACAGGAAGTCAGCGCAGTGGTCCTGACGCCCCTGGCTGGTGGGGCGCATGTGGAGTAAGGAGGGCCCTGGACTTGGCTCTCTGTCACCTTATGGGCCTAGGGAGGGTGCAGGGACAGGGGGTACCGCAGAGTATTGGGATGGGGTGGTCAGGGGAGGGAGGGAGAGTGCACTGGGTGGGTCCCCCAGAGACCCTGCAGTCCTCCGAAGGCTGGAGCTGACGGATTGGGCCTGCCATCAGGGCTGGGGCTCCCCCGTGCGTCCCTGCCTTCCCATCGCTCAGGTCCCAGCTGGCCCAGGGACCCTGGGGGCCGCTTATTCTTCCTGTCCATGACTCCCCAGACCCTTTGGCCCTGCCTACTGCCCCACCTTGGACCTGCCCTCTTTGGCCCCCCTTCCTTCCCTCTCACCACCCTCCCACCGGCCAGCCAGCCAGTCACACACACATGATTCCAGGGCTCCCAGCTGGTCTCACTTCCTGCACTCCCCTTCCCTGGTTTCCTGGCCCTGGCCCTTCCGGCCTGGACGGGACAGGATTCTGGCCCCAGGGGTCCCAGATCTCTTCCTTCGATGCCTTCCCCGCCAGCCTGGGCTGGGGCTCCAACCTTGACCGGGAGGCAGTCTCTCCCCGCCCTGCTTCTGTGTCCGGCCAGGGAGTCCTCCCGACCAGGGCAGCACACCCACCTGGACTGCAGATGCTCCAGCTGCACTTGTAGGTTCTCGCTCTGTTCCGTCTGCTCGTCCAGCGACCGCTGCAGCTTCCGTGCCTGGTTGTGGGCCTCATCCAGCTGGCGGGGGAGCAGGGCAAGAGCGTGAAGGTCACCTTGGGTCAGCCTGGCCGTCTACCCAGGACCAGCCCCTCCCGCCATTCCTCTGCCTTTCCCAAGAGCAGTCCTTGTCTGTTCTTTGAGGCCCAGACCAAGGCCCACCTCTTCCAAAGAAGCATGCCTTTGCCCCTCACCATTCCTGCTGCCCTGCCTTCCAAATCCACATCTTCCGACACCCCAAGCCACTGATCCAGCCATCAACCTGCCTACCTGTCTCTCCCTATGGGTCTGTTCATCTGACCATTCATCTGTGGAATGATGTCTGCCCATGGAGATATCTACCTGCCTACTTACCACTGCTTATTCTACTCAGCTACCCATTCACCCCATCTATCTGCTTCCACTCTCCCAGACACACCCAGCATCCCATCTGTCCATCCTTCTGTCCTTCTCTCTGTCCATTCATCCTTCTACCCGCTGACCCAATTTAGTTATCTAGCCATCTTTCCACTGTCCACACAGTCCTCTATTTTCCTGTGCATCTGTATAGTCATCTGTCATTCATCCACCCACCCACCCATCCAGTCATCTACCCATCCACCTACCCATTCACCCATCCACCCAACCATCTACCCACCCATCTGTCCATCCACCCACCCATCCAGTCACCCACCCATCCACCTACCTATCTACCCATCCACCTACCCATTCACCCATCCACCCAACCATCTACCCACCCATCTGTCCATCCACCCACCCATCCAGTCACCCACCCATCCACCCACCTATCTAGTCATCCATCCATCCAGTCACCCATCTATCCACCCACGCACCCACCCATCCACCTACCTATCCACCCATCCAACCACCCACCCATCCACCTGTCCATCCACCCACCCAGCTACCAGTCTGTCCACCCACCCACCCAGCCATCCACCCACCTATCCAGTCACCCACCCATCCACCCATCAATCCACCTACCTACCCATCCACCCATCTACTCGCCTATTCAGTCACCCACCCATCCATTCATCCAATCACCTACCCATCCACCCACCTATCCACCCAGCCATCTAACCATCCACCACCTATTCAGTCACCCACCCAGCCACCCACCTATCCAGTCATCCATCCATCCAGTCATCCATCTATCCACCCACCCACCTGCACATCCATCCACCCATCCAGGCACCCACCCATCCACCTAACTAGTCACCTACCCATCCACCCGCCTACCCACCCACCAATCTATCTAGCCATCCACCCACCCATCCATCCACCCAGCCATCCACTCAGCCATCCACCCATCCATTCACCCACCCACCCATCTACCCACCTGTCCAGTCACCCACCCATCCAGCCACCCATTCACCCACCCATCCACCCATCCACCAATCTATCCACCCATCTACCTGTCCATCCACCTGCCCAGCCATCCACCCACCTACCCATCCACCCACCCATCCAGTCACCCATCCAGTCACCTACTCCTCCAGCCATCCATCCAGTCACCTATCAGACACCTCTTGTTACATTTCATCCATCCTCCGTCCCTCTCCCCCTCCCTTCCCCATCCACCTGTCCCTCTATTCTCTCATCCATCCGTTAATCTATTCAGCTACTCCTCCACCCTGCCGTCCGTTCTTCTTCCCACACACCTATCTACTGTCCACCAGACGCCCGCACACAGTGACACGGGAGGGCCCTGCAGCCCTGCTGCCACCCGCTGAGGCCCGAGGCTGTCCTGCGGGCCCTAGTGGGTGCTCACCTCATCCTCGGCCTGGGCCAGCTCCTTCTTGAGCTCCTCCACCCGCAGCCGCAGCTTCTTCACCTCTGCTTCGTGCTGCTCCACCCGCCGGTTGGCATGTGCCAACTCGGCCACCTTCTCCTGAAACTGCTTCTTCAGCTTGCCGTGCACATGCTTCAGGTCGGCCAGCTCCTGAGGTGGGGCGGGGGGCTGGCTCAGGGTCACGGGGCACCTGTCGGCTCCCTGCTTAGTGGCTGAAGCGGAACGTGGCCCACAGGGGATGCCCATAGGAGCGGCTTCCGGGGCCGTCGCCACCTCCGTCCTTCGTTGTCACTTCAGGGGTCCCCCGCCCCCCCCACCGTGGGCTGAAGCTGGAGACACAGCGGGTGCTCCGCCCCGGCCCTGGCCATACCACCCGCTACCCCACCTTGTTTTTCTCGAAAAGTGCAGCCTGGCTGGCCCGCAGGTCACAGTCCAGGGCGCTGGCTGTCTGCCTCCGCCGGCGGGCCAGTGCCTCCTCCAGGTCCCCGACCTGCGCCCGCAGCTTCTTGTTCTCCCGTTCCAGGCCCAGCTTCTCGGTCTCCAGCCGCTCACGGCGACCCCACTCGGCCGCGTTCTCCGCCTGCAGCCGCTCCATCTGCAACAGGGCAGGATGGGGTCAGGGCTCCAGGGGGAGGGCGGACGGGAGGACCTGAGCTGGATGCTCCCCCAACCCCTCAGAGCCATTTTTGGCTCCAGGAAGCAGATCCAGCTGCAGCAGCTATAATTAACCTGGGCTGATTTCATGGTGTGCAGGATGCGAGGGCGCTTCTGGCCTGTGTGTGGGAGAGAGGCCAGCCGCCCCCTGCAGACCAGAGCACCTTCCAGGTGTGGCTGGTCCCTGCCCCAGCGCCCAGACCTCCGTCTTGCCCTCTTTGGAGTGGTTGGCTGATGGAGGCCAGGCCCCTGCCTCCCTCCTCCCCACCTCCTCCCCAAGCCCCAAGCCCTCCCCGGTCCCGCTGGTGGCCTCACCTCACCCCTCAGCTCCGCCATCTTCCTGTCCATGCTGGACCGTGCACCGAGTTCATCCTCCAGGTCTTCGGACATGCGACCCAGCTCGTCCTGGTGGGCCTCCTTCAGGATGCTGAGCTGCAGGACACAGTGCAGCCTGGTTCCGTGAGAACCACCTGGGTATATCCTGGAACCGGCTCCGGGGGATGGGTGCTGGGGCAGGAGTGCTCAGCAAGGAGCCTGACGTGGAGCCCAGATGCGCCACTGGGTATCCAGGACAGAGCCTGGGTCTGACTGCTGGTGCCGCTTCTGGCATTTCACACCTCCTACCTCATGACCATCTAGCTTCCCAGTGTCCACTCGTGGCCCCCGGCACTCCACTTCCACGACAGTAGCCCAGAATGAGCTCTTGAAAAAGATAAGTCAATCATACCCCCATCCCTGGGTTCCTTAGGATAAGACCCGACCCCTTTCTATGGTTTCACAATATGGTTGGACCTTGCCCATCTCTCCTCTCTCCCCTTAGTTCACTGTGCTCCAGGCTCGAGTTCTCAAACACACCAAGTTCCTGTCCACCGCTGGGCCTTTGCACATATGGTTCTCTCTACCACCACTCTTTCCAAGTTGTTTTACAGGATTGACTTTTTGTATTCTCAGGCCTTGGCCTAAACGCCTCCTCCTGAGGAAGGCCTCTCTCTTCCTCCCTGACTACAGGAGGTGCCTCCTTTACTTTCCGTCCCACTCCCCATTAGAATGTGAGCTCGGGAGGACAGAGAGCTTCTTTGTCCGCCTTTGTATCCCTATATGGCCTTGGCACTGGGTAGCCCTGTGAACTGACCGAATGCACTCAGTGGATCTGAACAGGGTCTGCATGTGGGTGCAGGCCTGGCCACATAGGGATCGCCTGGAGTGACGGTGGCATAGTGCAGATGCCTTGTCATACAGCAGGAAAACCAACAAACTGTCACTCTGTGCAATGACATGGGTGAGCTCAAATCCGTAACACTGAGGGCAAGAAGCCAGTTACAAAAGAGAATCTTTATGACTATCTGCTAAACTGAACATTCATGTTTTATTCACTTTTCTGCAAAGGATTCCATTTCATAATTTGGTAAGATTAAAAAGGCAGATTCCCGGACCCATCCCCCAAAGATGCTGCTTCTGGGGATGGAGGGTTTTAGGATATTCCCTGAGAGATTCTACCATGAGACAGTCTTCATTGCTTCCAGGGCAGTTTCAGGCTCTGGCGTCCGGGGGCTATCTCTGCACCTTCTGGAAATGCAGCAGGTCCAGCAGACTTTTTCTGGGTGGCCACGCCCCCTGGTGGCCACAGGGGCCCGCACACGAGGCAGTCGTGGCCACCCAGCAGGACCTCGGCCTGCCCTGAGTCCCCAAACTGCAGCAGTGGAATTCCCTCTCGGCCTGCTGGAGCCTCAGTTTTGTCCTTTATAAAATGGGGACCCCAGGGTCCAGCTTCGTTGACTGCCCTGAAGCGTCAGTGAGATGGAGAACACTCTAGGCCCCATGAATGCTATATCCCAACTCTTCCCCTTCAGCGTGGTCTACGAAGCCCGGTGAGGTCTGGCTCCCTTGGAACCTCATCTCTCACTTACTTCCCTCCAGCCACACTGCCCTCTGCTTTCTGCACACTCTAGGCTTACTCTGGCCTCAGGACCTTTGCATGTGCTGTGCCTTCCGCCAAGAACCCTGGCCCCATATCCTCTCAAGGACAGCTTCTTTAGGTCTTGCCTCAAATAGCACCTTCCGGGAGAGGCCATTTTTTTTCGAATTTTAATTTTATTTATCTACTTACTGCTTTATTATTTTATTTATTTTTTTAGAGATGCCATTCTTGACCCACCACCATCTCTCTTATTCTGTCTGACTCCTTCAGAGCTTATGAATTTATCTGCCTGCTTACTGTTGGTACCCCCTGTGCCCCACCTCATAGCCCCCCCAAGGTGAGCTTCCAAAGACAGGGCCACTGCCTGCCCCAGCACTCAGAACAGCGGATGGAGCGTGGCCAGCATTTGATGAGGAATGACTGAACTCCCTCCCTCCTTTCTCCCACTCCCGAAATTCAACAGTGTAATGCTGCTTCCTCTAGGAAGACTGCCGTCTCCAAGACTCACCTGCTTCAGCATCTCCTGCTTGGTCTTGTTCAGCTCCTCATACTTGATCTTCCACTGGCTCAGCTCCCCCTCCAGCTTCTCAATGTTCCTGCTCAGTGCCAGTTTATCCCTGAAGAGAGGAGGAGGAGAGATAGACATGGGGGTGAGCCCACCAAGGCCCTCTGCTGAGAGTCCTCCTGTGCGGCCTGCACCTGGGGAGCCGGTGTCCGAAGTCCTTGCCTCGGCACTCAAGGCCCTGGCACCCCGACCCCGGGTTTGCATTCCTTTTGCAAAGAGCTCTACTCCCCACCCTCTGCACCACTGCAGGCGCCCAGCTCACAATGTGGGGAGGTGACCAGGACTCCAGGGCACTGGCCATGCCTGGTCAAGTGTCTCAGGCTCAACTGCCCAATATGACCCCTGTTTCTGTTTTATGTACGGTTGTTGCCTGTAAGGCTTGGTTTGAACACATGGTTCTGGGGTCAGAAAAGCTGGAAAACACTGTCCACTGGGTCTCAGATGGAGGGGTCACCTCTCTTCGTCCTCACTGGGTGGGGGGGGTCTCCCACGATCCCCACTCTGCACGCTGCTCCGTGCATGAGTGCGCTGCTGTGAGTAATGAGCACGGGGCCTGGCCCCGGCACACAGTAGGTGCTCAACAAAGAGTTGTACTTATCCTCACTCTTCAGCATGCTGTGCCTCATGACCCCCTGCCAACCAGCCTCCCTCTCGGGGAGCCTGACATCTCCCGCCTCTAACATGGGCTTCTCAGGAGACAATACCGCCCTCTAGGGGGCATTTCTGGTAACCCTGCATGACCCGGTCACTCGGTGGGCAGGAACAAGGGGTGCCTATGTCCTGCACTGAAGGCCCAGGGCCATCCCGCCCTCCAGGAATGATCCCGCATCCCCTGTAATGCATGCATGCCCTGTCAGACAGCCCCAGGTGTGCAAACCATCTGAATGAGCCTAGACCCTCACTCTGATTGACACAAAAACAGAAAGTATCTTTTGTACTCACAGCGTCTCCCCAGGAACAGATCGCTGTATAAATGGAAAGAACGGTGCGCTATGCTTGGCTCAGAACTTTACCAAAGGCTGTTCCTCTCTCAGGAAATCCTGTCGCCACCTCGACAGCGCTTGTGTATCTGAGTTGCGTACCCCACACACCTGCACCTGCTGTTTTTCTAGCTGTCCTGGGAGGTGACTTAACTGAGCCCATCCACACAAAGACTGACTCAGAGTACTCAGTGCTACGAAAGTATTGGCTGGGAGGGTTATCACTACCCTTCTTTGTAACGGCACCCGATTCTGATTACCTCTGCCCCTTGAACACCCTGGGTTTCAACTGCATGGATCCACTTACACGCGGGTCGTTTTGATAAATATGGTACAGTATTGTATTTTCCTCCCTTTTTCTTAATGTTTTCTTTCCTCTAGCTTCCTTTATCGTAAGAATACAACACATAATACATAGAATGTGCAAAACACATGTTAATCGACTGTTTATATTATCAGTAAAGCTCTGGTCAATGAATTAAGTTTTGGGGGATCAAACCTGGGGAGTCAGATTTTCAACTGCATGGGGGGGGGCGTGTCAGTGCCCCTGACCCCCATATTGTTCAAGGATCGACTGCACTTCGTTATGTCCTCTAGTGGAGCTGGGCCTGAGCATGTCCATGTCATAATACGTATATTGTACTATATTTACATTTCTGCTTTATATTTCAGTTAGTGGAACAGGTTGCTATTTGTCCATCTTGCTTAAACAGAAATTTATGGTCTCACAGTTCTGGAGGCAGAAGTCCAAGATCAAGGTGTCAGCAGGGTTGGCCCTGTCTGAGGCCCCTGAGAAGGAATCTGTCCCTTGCTTCTGGGAGTTTACGGGCCATCTCTGGTTCTCCTTGACTTATAGAAGCATCCCCCTGATCTCTGCCTTCATACTATCTACGCATTTAATTTCTGGACAGAAAGGGAGTGTTACAAAATGTTCATTAGAATCAGGCCTGTGCCCCGATCAAGGTCACCAGCGACCTCCACGCTCTAAATCCTCTGGTTAGCGCTTAGTCCTCTTCTTCCTTGACCAGGTGTTCACTCCCTCCTCTGTGAAACAGGTGCTTCTGGTTTCCCTGACCCTTCCCGGACCCCCTTCTCCTGTCTCCTCCGCCGCTGGGCTCTTCCTCTGACCTCTAAAGTCGGAGGGCCCCAGGGCTCCATCCTCTGACCTCCCTCACCGAGCTCACGGCTTTTGAAATCACTTATTCCCTGCTGACTCTTGCATTTTTACCTCCAGCCCACATCTGCCTCGTGAACTCCAGACTCATTCACATATGCAGCTGCCTCCCTGTCATCTCAAATTCAACTGGGCCAAACCCGATTCCCATCTGCAACCCCTCAACCTCCCTGACCCTCCTTCCCTGCTTGTACCTTTGCCCATGACACAGTCTCCCCACTAGCACATAAGCTCCACGAGGCGGGGGGGTGGGGAGGGTTTGGGCTCATTTACGGTTATATCTTCACTGCCGAGCACAGGTCTGACCCAGAGCAAATGCATGATACATGTTATTTGAATTAATAAAACTTTCATGGGGTGCCCCAGTTAGAACACACTGCTCTAAAGTTCCAAGACTCAAGCCTAAATAGCGCCATGCACCTTCAGTGAGTCTCATGTTCCACGACACTGACTTTGTGCGATTCTGAGGGTGCCCTGGCATGGCCTGACCCGCCCCCGGGGCCCTGCTTTCCTGCCGGGACTTACTCTCGCTCCTTGAGCAGCACCTTCTGGGACTCATCTAGCCGCAGCCGCAGGGCGGTCAACTTGGATGCATCCTCCTCGATGGTGGCCGTGTCCTCCCAGGGCAGCCGGCTGCGCTCCTGGCGGCCTGAGCTGCCCCGTGGGCCCCCGGCCCCCACGCTGCGTGCCTCCCAGCAGCCCTCAGGCTCCTCTGGTCTGCTCTTCAGCAGGCTCTCCACTAGCTCCAGCTCCTGTAGGGACCAAGGTGGAGGATGGACCAGTGGCTGTTGAGCTCTCTCTCTTGGCCGACCTCATGGCCTTTCCCAGGCCCTGGGTCTGGGATCGGCTTGGTGGGTAACCATGGGCAAGTCACACAGCCCTCTGGGCCCCAATATCCTCTTCTGGAGCCTGCCTCTCCATCCCTGGAGAGAGAGAGACACCCCCTCTTCTGGGCCTCTCCCCTTCACCTCCTAGAACTGCACAGAGTCAGCCACTACAGATCCCTGTATCCTAGAAGATTTCCCAGGGCAGATGGTGAGCCTCCCTGTCATCGGAAGTATGCAAGCATATGGTGGGACACTGATGCGAATGGATGTAGAAGCAGGGACTCCCACAATGGATAAGAACTAGATTCCCCCAAAAGGAATTCCGGCTCTAAGATCCCATTCTTCAGGTGCAAACACTAAGGCACCAGGAGGTAAGTGACATAAAAGATGCACAGGAAGGCAGCCCCTGTGAGCAGAACCAGCTCCCAGACTGAAAGTAGTGAGAGACTATTAACTCAGTGCCTATCCCCTGAGCTTCCCATTCCCCTTTGCCCCTTCGGACTGCCCCTGCTGCACCCAAGGCCTGCCTCTGACCACAGACCTGAGACATCCATGGCGTCTGTCCCAGCCTGGCTTCCCCCGTGACCTTTCTAGAGGAGTCCAGGCCAGCTCCTTCCCCGTCTGGCCCTCAGTTTCCCTATCGGGATGGGGACAGTGGCCCTGAGAACTACCTGTGGACAGAGATTCTACTCCTAATGTATCTCAGACTGTCTGGGTGGGGGCCTCAAACGCCACCCGGTCCAAAGCCTTATTTCACAAATGGGGAAACGGGGAGGGAAGGGACTGGTTCTGGGTCACAGAACACAGAAGTGACTGGGCTGGAGAAAAAAACTCAGACTGCAACCCCAAGGCTCCTGCCACGGTACCTGCTACCTCCTGGCGTGTGACTGACAACCACGGCAAGGACAGGACAAGAATGGCACCACAAGGCTGGCTGACAGGGGCTGTCATTGTCTGCCCCAAACAGCAATGAAGGAACGCCACCTCCAAACACTAGGCAAGCCGGGGGATGTGGGGGCTTCAGCCCACCCTAGCCTAGAGGGGTGGCAGGAGCTGGGCAAGGGAGGGGAGAGGGCAGCCAAGAATCTTAGCTGCAGGAGCTGGACCATCTGGGGATGGAGCTGGGAGGAACCTGAGCCTGGACTCTGCTCCTAGAAAGCCTGCTGGGTCGGGGGATGCTGCCCTCCACCCCCACCATTCACGCTCCAGCCATACTGATGATTACCATGGACTCTGGAGTTCACCTGGGTTCAACTACCCAGCACTCCAGTCGCCAGCTGGGAGACATTGGTCCTTAATCTCCCTGTGCTTCAGTGTGCTCATCCACAAAGCAAACCCCTCTTGGGATTGTGAGAATTAACTAGATCCTGCATATGCCGAGCTTAGTGCTATCTGCAGGTGCCCACAGAATGATGGGAGCTGTCATTCCCGGCCTCTGGGCTTTTGCATGCCTAGAATGCCTGCCTGCACATTTCACAGAGAATTCCTCCATAACCTCCTAGTCTCCGCTGTAATGGGATCTCTTCCAGAAAAGCTTCTGTGAAGCCCCCATCTGCAAAGCCTGGTTCAGGGACCTTCTCTGTGCTCCTAGTGCCCTGACAACCTCCCACTTCTCAGCTTTGACTGATGCGGGTTATAAATGTTTACCCCCTACACACCCCCCCCCCATTCAAGTTGAACGAATGAATAGATTCAGCTCTGCTGCTAATAGATGCCTACCAGGCACGAGCTTCGATCCCGCTTCTGGCCCAAAGGGACGATTTTAAGGTTCTGTTGACGGCTCAGGTGCGGGAGTGGCAGGACCACCAGATGCCAGGCCTCTCCGGAAGAATGCCGTCCTCAGGCCCCGCGGAGCAGAGGCCCACGCGGGAGAGCGAAACCTCCCAGGGGACCAAGCCCTTCCTCACCCCCTTTCTCAGCCCCGCCGCACCCCCTTCTGGACCCCAGCGCCAAGGGCCCTGCCCAGAAGCCCGCCTCCTCGCCACCCCCACAGCCCCAGCCGCGCCGCGCACCTGGCTGCCCTGGGGCACTTCGGACCCGACGTCGCGCACCGGCTCCTGCTCCCTGTCGGGCTCGGGCTCCGGCCCGTCGGGCGTGCGGTCGGCGGCCCCCCGGGCGCCCCGCAGCCGCGCCAGCTCGCGGCCCCGCGCCTCGCACTCGCCCTGCGCCTCCTGGCGTTCGCGCCGCGCGCCGGCCAGCTCCTTGGTGAGCGCGTCGAGGCGCTGGCGCAGCTGGCGCACCTCCTCGCGCGCGCGGTTGCGCTCGGCGCGCACCTTGCTCCACTTCTCGCGCCAGTTGGCCGTGCAGTCCGACCACCAGCGCATGGTCTTCTCCATCTGCGCCGCCCGCGCGCGCGCCTCCTCCAGCTCCCGCAGCCGCAGCTCCTCGCGGCTCTCCCAGTCCCCGTCGGCCAGCAGCGCGGGCGCCGGCGGCAGCGGCAGCGGCAGTGCGGGCGGCGGCCCCGGGGAGGGCGTGCCGCTGGGCGGCGTGGGCGGCAGCGAGTCGGCGGGCCCCATGCGCTCCGGCGACGGACTGCCCAGGATGGTCAGGAGGCTGCCCTTGGACAGCTGCGGGGACTCGGCCAGCCGGGGGCTGGGCCCGTGGCTCATGGTGCGGCCGCGCGGGCGGGCCCTGGGTTCCAACTCGGGGCGGGACTCAGGGGCGGCACGGGGGATGTCCGGAGGACGCGATGCCCCTGTGCATGCTGGCCACCGCTCCCCACCGCTCTTCCTGGGACCTGTGGGAGAACACAACAGTTAGGAGGCCGTGGTCCCCATCTGTCCATACCCATAAGCTCAGCCATGGGAAGGGCAAACAGGAAGCGGGAACAGCATGGGCAAAAGCGGGAGGAGAGAAACGGTCTGGCCCGGAAAAGCCCCAGTGAGGCTGTAGTGGTGAGCGTGGGCCTGGAACTGCTTCCTCACTGGCCTCCAGACACCCTCCTGCAAGGTCCTTTCACCCTGCAGCCAAGGCAGCTGATCTGAAACCTTGATATGCTGTCCTTGACCTTCAAGTTCCATGTCACCCAGTGAATGACTTGTACTACTCCCCATCTCTACCCCAAGTGCAGCATGCTTGCACACTGACTGCCAGGACTGCCCTCCCTGCCTCTTCCTGCACTGGGCTAACTCTTCTCAGGCTTGAAACTTATCTGACTTATCACCTCCTCCCAGAAGTCCTCCAGGACCACCTCAGGCCTGGTGGCCCACCCCACCTGTGTCTTCATTACTAGTGTAACCAATCTCACCTACCATTTATCTGTGTCCCCGCCTGCTCCCTGTCCTCACCCCAGGCTGTGAGTTTGCTGAGGACTGGGGCTGGCTTTTGGCTACTGTCTCCGTCCTAGCATATGATGCCAATGGCAATGACATCTGTGGAGGTCTGACTGCAGGCCAGGTGCCATGCCCATGGTCTTATGTGAACTATCTCATGTGAACTATTCTTCTCAATAGACTCTAGGGAAACGGCTCGCATTTACTCCAGAGGAAAGGGGAGGCTCAAAAAGGTTGAAGCCCAGATTTGATTCCAGGTACAGGGTAAGGTGAGGGTGAGCTGTGTGGTGAAAGCGACGCATGGTCTGGTGTTAGGAGGAAATAAGCCAGAGTCTAGATGGCGGGGGTGAGGCAGCGGTGAGAGGTCCCACTGCTGGGCTCTGCTATTCTGGGCCACAGCACTGTAAAAAGAAGTGAGAGGGCGCCTGGGTGGCTCAGTTGGTTAAGCGACTGCCTTCGGCTCAGGTCATGATCCTGGAGTCCCGGGATCGAGTCCCGCAGCGGGCTCCCTGCTCAGCGGGGGGTCTGCTTCTCCCTCTGACCCTCCCCCCTCTCATGCTCTCTCTCTCTCTCTCTCAAATAAATAAATAAAATCTTTAAAAAAATAAAAAAAAAGAAGTGAGACACATGTCCTTCTCCTCTCTGTCCCCAACCTGTCACCCTCCCTCTCCATGGTGGTCTTGCCCAGACCCCCTCCAGCAGCCCGTCGGGACGTCATGCCCCTCATGCTCTCCCTTCCCCATTCGGCTTAGCCTCTCGTACAGACCCTCCCCCCAGGCCCCTCCGCCCTGATGGGCAGCCCTTCCCCTGCTGTGCCCTGCTGGTGGGGCTCTCATCCGCTCCACAGCCAAGTGCCTCAACACCGGCTGCTCCCAACACCGCTCGGCCAGCCCTCTCCGTCCTCTTTCCGCCCTCCGCCCCCCTCCAACCCCTCACTCTCAGCAGGTGATCTCATGTCAGAGTTTCCAGGAAAAGGGAAGCCATCAGATGGGCATGCCCTCCAGGTCCTGCCCCCAGGCCTGCGGCCCGCTCCTCCCTGCCCCTAAGAGGCTGGAAGGGCTCTCCCTCTCTCCAGCCCAGGCTGTGCTCCAGAACCCCCCTGCACCTCTATCACGGTGTTCCTCAGATAACTCAGACTCAGCCTCGCCAAACTGGAACTCATCTTCTACTCTTCCCTCCACAACCAGCTTCTCCTTCTGGATGCCCCCTCTGGGAGAAGAGCACTTCCTCACCCCTTCACGCTGTGGAGTATGTTCTAGAATCTGCTTTCTCCCCGCACCCATCCCCCCCCCGCCAACTCCAAGTCCTGTCCAGTCTGTCTGCTACACATCACAAGGAGCTAGCCACCTTCCTCCCATGCTGCCACTAACCTGTCAAGGCCACCACCATCACCTCCCACCTGGGTGACCCTAGCCACTGTCTCCCTGTCCTGTGCCCCGGCAAGGGGAGGGGAGAGGGAGAAGCAGGCTTCCCACTGAGCAGGGAGCTCGATGCGGGGCTCGATCCCAGGACCCTGGGATCATGACCCGAGCCAAAGGCAGACGCTTAACGACTGAGCCACCCAGGCGCCCAAGCTGTGCCTTCTTCAAATCCATTTGGAACTGCGGCAGCCAGAGGGAGTTTTCAAAAATGCCGTTGGGCTGGGGCGCCTGGGTGGCTCAGTTGGTTAAGCGACTGCCTTCAGCTCAGGTCATGATCCTGGAGTCCCTGGATCGAGTCCCACATCGGGCTCCCTGCTCGGCAGGGCTTCGCCCTCTGACCCTCCCCCCTCTCATGTGCTCTCTCTCTCTCATTGTCTCTCAAATAAATAAATAAAAATCTTTAAAAAAAAAATGTCGTTGGGCATCTGCCTTCAGCTCAGGTCATGATGATGCCAGGATCCTGGGATCGAGTCCCACGTCGGGCTCGCCGCTCGGCGGGAAGCCTGTTTCTCCCTCTCCCCCTCCCCCTGCTTATGTTCCCTCTCTCGCTGTGTCTCTCTCTGTCAAAAAATAAAGATGCCAACCGGATCACACCAGTGGCCACACCCTTTGTTGTCAGCAATAGCTGCAACCGCTGTCTAGTGTCAAGGCCAAGCTCATGCTCTCTAGGAGTCCAACTCCAAAACTTCTCCCGTCCCAAAAGGGGCTCCAGCCCCCTGATCCCACCACTTGTTTATTGTCCCCACCGCCCACCCCAGCCCGCTCTCCCCTTGCCTAGTGCCCATTCCATGGCCCTACTCTCGCCCTGGCCAACGCCTTCGGTGCCCCAGCCCCTCTCCTGTCCTTTTCTCTCCGGGCAATGCCAACCCAGGGCACCTCCACTGCTCTGCCTATCTTGCCTCCCGGTCCCAGCGGGCACAGCTGGTTTTCCCACCACGTGGACGGGTGTCAGGACCGTTAGCATCTCAGTACGGTCCACCGACCTTACTGCCTTTCTCTAGTTTGTTGGCTGTTTGTTAGTTGCCTCCACCAGGCATCAGTTCTAGGCTCAGCTCTGTCACGGACCTCATGTATGCCACTGCCCCTTTCTGGGCCTCAGTTTCTCCACCTGTAGAAGTGGGATGGGGTGGGGGTGAGGGAGACCAGTGCGTTTGATCAAGGGGTCCTTCAGATTCACGTGGACACTTGTTTAAAATGCAGTTCCTGGGCCCCCCTCCTCCCCTGCCCCGACTCATGGTCAGCAGGCGTGGGGCTGGGAATTTGCATTTTATTTATTTATTTATTTTTATTTATTTTTTTTTTTTTAAAGATTTTATTTATTTATTTGAGAGAGAGAATGAGATAGAGAGAGCATGAGAGGGGGGGAGGGTCCGAGGGAGAAGCAGACTCCCTGCTGAGCAGGGAGCCCGATGCGGGACTCGATCCCGGGACTCCAGGATCATGACCTGAGCCGAAGGCAGTGGCTTAACCAACTGAGCCACCCAGGCGCCCCATGGGAATTTGCATTTTAATAGTCCTATTTGGGGACACTTGAGTATTTGGTGATGCCTTGTCACCACCCAGAGTTTCATACGTACAAACTTGTATGTCTCAACGCCAATAACACCCGCAGAGACGAAGTTATACACCCAGACACGGCCACACGGAAGTAGGTTCCGTACACCACTAACTCCTTGGCAGGCTGCATGCCGTCTGACTCAGTCTCCCCACCTGTGTGGTGAGGTGGCTGGCCCAGATACCATCTGCATTCACAGACATCTTTGCACGCCCGTACCCATCTGCAGACACACAAGCAGCCCCACGCACATAAACACAGATACAAAGACACGGGCAGACACACGTACCCACAAACTGCGGGCACCTGACCCTCGGATGCACCCTCAGAGATGGACCATATGCACACACAGCTCTGCGGATGCCCAGAGATGCTAACCTGGAGAGAGAGAGTCACAGATGCACCCGGAGACACATGCAGGCCTGCACACAGATGGATACAGAGACATGCAGATACTCATCCCTCAGACAAACACGGACATACACAAACACCCACACGGGCACTCACACTCCTCCTCTCCCCATTTTCCTGGCCCAGCTCCACAAGGAGAAACTCTTGGAAAAGAAAAACAATGTGAGAGCCTGAGGGGGAGGGGAGGAGGCAGGAAATCCCAGTGTGCCAGTCAGGCGCCCGCCACAGCTGCGCTAGTTATGGGGAGTGGTGGGAAGGCCCTCCGGGCTCCATCGGCTGGGCCCCTCTGGCCGCCCCTAAGCGGACAGGGTGGCAGGGAGGGGGCCCCTGCCATGTCCTCTCTGCCTCTGGGAGCCGCCAGGCCTGGCATGGAACTCAGCGGGGTGGGGGCGGGCTCCTTCCAGGAATCTCCAGCCTGTTGTGCAGGGGCAGGGCGGGCGCCACCCAGGCCCCTAATGGCTTCCAGGCGCCCACGCTAAAGGCAGGGGTGGGCTCCAGACTCAGCTCCTGTTGCCCTTCCCAGCGGCCTGGCCCAGGCCCTCCTGGGGGTTGGGGGAGGAGGAAGGGGAGCAAGGAGATAAGAGGAGCTCCGGACAGCCCTCCTGCCTTTCCTCTTGCAAGCCCAGGGTCCCCCGGAGGCTGTGTGTGCGCACGTGGGGGAAGGCGTGGGGGTCCCAAAGCTGGTTTTCTCGAGAAACCCGCTCCCCAGCACACCAGGAACCCTGCACCCTGTGTAGACTCAGGGCAGCCAGACCCTGCCTAGCAACGCCTCCCCTCACCCCCTGCTCCCACCCCACTCACATGACATAGCCTTGGGGACACACACACATAGCCCTAGTAACGGTCACATTCACTGAGAGTCCTGCAACACAGAGGCTCAGCTCACAGTTACAGAGACAGGCTCTGGCTGCCTGGCTCGTCCCTTCCAAACCAGGCTCAGTGTCTTCTTC